CAATTCTTTTAATCAAAGGATTACTCTGATTTTATTTTAAAAGCATAAATTAAATCGGTCTTTTCTAGCCGTGAAATTGGGGATGTCACATATGATCCATGTTGGACCAAGCTTATGTATGGATATATAAAGAGTTGGGTCACATGAACCATGGATCATAAAACCCATGGGTATGGATTTGGGTTATACTCATGACCCTTGGAATCCTACATATAAATAGGTGAGTACATAGCCAAAAACGTGACTGATGTTCTTGGAGTTCATATGGATGGTTTTTGGTGTATGAAGATTCTCTCTCAAATGTCTACCTTTGTCCATGATGTGTTGTGACTTCATTTGAGGCTTCCACACTATTGGGGCTAAGCTCTTAAGGCCAAATACATGAAGACTTCAAGCTACATAAAAGGTATGTTACCCTAACTAGTATCTTGTATGGTTTATATCAAATGCATGCTAGTTATAGGTTTAATGCCTTGGAAACCATTTGCATGTATAATTAGTGAAAACATAGATCCAAGGTATTTAGGGTTGTGTGTGCACCATAGGATGTTGTAGTATACAAAACCCATCAATGTCGAGGATCACAAACAAGGTGTGGATAACCATGCAAATTAGCTTGGTACTCTCGAATATGTCTATCACCTAATCAATGTGCCGATTAACCACACACGCTCCATTGATCTATGATAATCTACGAGCTACCCATTGTCATCCTTCATTGGTCCGATATTAGTGTGCCGGTTAACCACACACGCTCCACTAACAACCAACAAGGTGCAATATGCAATTTCATGGATTAACACCAACTCCACATTTTTCCTAAAGTAACTAAAATTTGGGAATTTATAATAGTGTTTAGTTACTTCGTGTTTCATTATACTTATAGTGGAAGGTTGTGTCCTATCCTACCCGTTCGGCTAACGACCCTCCACTAGTCAAGAGTGCGGTGGGTAAGAGTGGATACCCATTCAATCGTCATTTTATAGGCAATTTCCTTAAACACCCCTTATAGACCAACTTCGTGAATGAGGCCTACTAACGGTAAGACTGACTCTTTACTTATACATATATAATATATTAGACTTTTAATTTTATATAGTATAAGGTTGTATTTTACACTTTTAAAATACTAGGTGGTTTAATCTGATAAATTATACTTTTAATTTTATTAAATATAAACCATTACATTATGGATTTAGTAACTCTCTTTTAATTACACACTTAATTAATTTAATAAAACCATAAGGGTGTAATTTGAACTTTTCAAAGTACTAGGGTTTTAGAATTCAATATTTCAAAACTAATACCTTTTAATTAAATTTTAAATTCCAAAACTTGAGGACAAATTTTGAAACCTTTCAAAATATTAGGGTTTAACTATTTAAATTTCAAAAACTAAAACTTTTAAGTTCAAATTTAAACTATAAAACTTAAAGGGTGTAAATTGAAACTTTTCAATCTTACTAGGTCAAATATTTGACTCATAATAATCCTATATTATCCATATTTAACCAAATCCATTAATTTTGATAAGGATAACCATTCCAAACATAAAAATCGATTTTAGGCAAGAAAAACGAGTTTTGGAAGTAATCCTCAACAAAATCTGGCAAGAAAATCGAAATTTCCAGCACCAAACCTTTGAACTCGTCGAGTCCACTATGGAACTCGTCGAGTAGGACCTGCTCGTCGAGTCCATACATGGAATTGGCGAGTCAGCCAGTCAGAAGGCAAAAAATTCGATTTTCTTAAACTTTGGCAATTCACTTTTGCATCTATTCACTAAAAAAACGACCTAGGCTTTGATACCACTGTTGGGTTATGAGCATAACATCAATCCTATGGTGTACATGCAACCCTAATTACTTTGATCTAGGTTTTTCTAAGTAAACATACAACATTGAATACCAAAGCAATAAACCCTAATTGACTAGCATACAAATCCGAAAATCACACTTAATTAGGGTTAGAAAGTTTACCTTGATTGTTATGTAGCAATAACAATCACAAACCTCCTTGATCTTGACTTCTGAAAGCCTAGTGCCTCAAATGTTGCACCTCTAATGGAGTCACAAACACCACTAGCAAGAAGATGACTTAGGAGAGGGAAGAGGAGGCACAAAATTCGTCCAAGGCACTCTTGGAAAGCATAGGGCCGAATTCTGGGAGCCTTAGGGTTCCTTTTATATGTGAGCTGCTAGGGTTTCAGTCAAAACCCTATTTGGATTGCTTAGCCACCAAGCAGCCCTTTGGATCCTTCCATAATCAAGGCCTGGACGATTTCTAAGTGGGCTTCCACCTTGAATTCGTCCATCTTATTCCTAAGGGATCTACAGTCCAAAACCAATTATCTTATAATTGCAATTCCAGTCCCCTAAGTTTAATTAATCTCTTTTGACCACAAAATTAATTCTAAATTAATTATTGATCAATATTAATTAAACAATATGATTTCTCTTTTAATATATTATTCATATAATATATTAATAAATCATAATTAATCCTCTTTCTCCTTAATTCATCCTATCAGTTGCTCTGGTGAAGGCAACACAAAAGGACCATGATCATAATCGGGTCAAGTACATACCGAAATAGTTATGAGCTTAGACACCTAATCCAACAGTTTCACCCAGGCCCCGCCTGTCTCTGGGCCCCGCCCACTATGCACATACAAACAATAACATATAATCATGCTAGTACATAAAGAATCATAAGCAACACTATATCTTCTAGTCTTAAGGCCTCGCAACACTATATCTTCTAGTCTATTTAAATTTTTGTATAATTATGTATCTATGAAATATATGTAATCTTAATCCTATATTTGAATGCATCAGATATGACTATAATCAGGGCTTATAGTTTTGTGCTTGCCTTTTTGTTAACACTCGGGGGCTTTATGGAAGAAAGGTGCCAGGTTCATCAATTACTTCATGAAAATTTTATTTACTGATCATTTGCATCAAGTTGCATGTATTGTAACGAGTAAAAGATGAATGGAATATATTTAAATCATAACTGGATGAGATTGGATACATGCAACATGTAAACTCCATACACATCAGATAGTTAAACCCATGTTATTCTAATGTTTTTTTTCTACCATTGAATATTTATCCGTATGTTTATCTAAATATGAGATATATAATTATTCATATAATATATCTTTATAAAGGCCAAGAATAAAAGAGATTAACTTTTGCATAACCTAAGAACCGAAATCATTAACTTATTTGTATCTTACTTTCATGACATTAAAAAAAGAAACATAGAATAATTTCGTGTTGTCTTTATAAATAAGACTTTCTTTGATTCTATCTCTATACGCACATGTCCTATTCCCCGTCTTCTCACGACTCCATCTCTCCATCTCTCACGTTTCCATTGTTGGGGGGTGTAGTTATATTTTGTTGTCACTAATTACAGAAGTATACAACATTTTTTTCCCATATTTTTATTGATTTCATTTAAAATAGAATTTGATCCTTTTTTTGATATTCTATATGCTTCGGCTTCATTTCAAAGAAAATGAGGATTACATGCTTATGAAGAAAGTGAATGCCCTGGTATCTCAATTAAATTAGTAAATTCTATTTTTTGTATTTTTTTTCTTTTTGTGTTTTCTATTGCTATAGAGTGAAAAACAATAAATATGTAGCATTCACATGCCAATATAGTTGGTTTCCATTTGTGTCTCCATATCCAATATTAACATTACTTCAAAGCTATTTTGCATTCCTCTTCTGAATGTTTCTGATTTTTTTTGTCGTAGAAAATTTTGTCAAGAACTTTGGTAACAGTCAAACAGAGGCTATATAATTTATACCTTTTTAATGATTTCATGTAACTTATACCTAATTATGTTGATTTTTTTACTTTGTGATACTAAGATAGGAGACAAATCTGAGGACCCAAATACCAATGGGAATGGAAAGAAGTTCTGACTATATGCAAGAAATGGCAAGCTACTTTAATCTATTTGTGTAATAACATCCCACTTTATTCTTTCTATTAAGGCATTGTACGATGAAAATCCATCCATTCATAACATTGTAATTAAACTTCTCCCAATTTCAGGGCTATTCTTAAACTCTCTTTTTACTATACTCGTGGGTCGTCTTATTACAACCTTGCATTTTTATTTATGTTTATCAGGATACTGACCTTTATTGAGTCGTGCTTAGCACGGGTCTCGAAACTTACCTAATATATATATATATATATATATATATATATATATATATATATATATATATATATAAGTTTATGTCATTTTTGGTCACTTAACTTTTGGTTTTGTGTTCATTTGGTCACTTAACTCTTTTTAAGTTTTAAAAGGTCATCAAACTTTTCGCTTTGTGCTCATTTAGTCACTTAACTTTTGGTTTGGTCACTTAACTTTTGGATTTGTGTTCATTTAGTCACTAAACTTTTAAAATAAAACTATAAAAATGAGCACAATTTTAAAAGTTAGGTGACTAAATAAACACAATTTTAAAAGTTAGGGTACTAAATGAGCACAAATCCAAAAGTTCAGTGACCAAATCAAAAGTTAGGTGACTAAATGAGCACAAAACCAAAAGTTCGATGATCTTTTAAAACTTAAAATGAGTCAAGTGATCAAAAATGACCTAAACTCTCTCTCTCTCTCTCTATATATATATATATATATATATATATATATATATATATATATATATATATGGTCTAGGTCATTTTAGAGTATTTATTCTAAACCCTAAGGAAAAAAAAAGATTTTAGAGTATTTATTATAAAATTTAATAGAATAATCTATTTTACATATATAAATCTAGATAAATATAAATTTTAAATTTAAGAAAATAAAAAATACAAAAAAATATAATTAAAAACACATATAAAAATCCAGAAAAAATAACATGCGTGTCAAATGATATTTACCATTTGATTATACGTATATAGGTTAAAATAATTATAATATAAAAAAACTCGTATAAATATGCCTGCGTTACTTTAAAGAGATTAGATCATCAAAAGCATCAAAGATTCCAAACCCCATACAAAGACTTGAAGAGTCTTCCTTTTCGGCTGTCATTCAAACACACAGTTAGGGGTTTAGAGATGTTAGATCTAATCGCATGGCTGTTCTCCTTCTTCATCCTCTTAGCAGTCATAGCGCTTGTTCTTTACCAGGTAACTTCAAGAACACACACACACACACACACATTCTTTCAATTGCAACCCTTTTTTCTTCGGTTTTCAATTCATGTTCGACTGCATTCATCAACTACACCTCGACTTTGTTCGTTAGTGTTTCACAATTTTCTATTACGTTTTACAATTGCTAGAATATTTGATTTTTTAACCTAATTTGTTTAATTGTCTGATTTCGGGTTCCATGTTTATTGGTTACATTTGCCATGAATTGCAATAAATTTTGCTGATTTTTTATGAAAGTTTCAGTTTTTCTTTTTGCATATATGTTTTTGTTAATCGACCACCAGTTCTACAAACTAAATACCCATTCTTCCATTGATTTAAAGAGATAGAGAATATGTAATTAGGCAATTGCACTAGATTTGTTCTTGCATAAATTTGTGAACTTTAAGGATATTTGCTAAGTAAAAAAGTACTTAAAGTTAAAGGGTTAGTTCGAATGAAAAAGAAGTTTTCTTTCTGCATCTAAAAGATTAGAATTCAAAATCAAAATCGGATATGTGAAACACTAGAAGACTGATTTTTACTTCTATACCCATTAGTAATCTTTTTAAAATATTGATTACATTCAATGTGGTTGACAAAATTTCTCTACTTTATGATTGTTGAGTGCATTCTTGACATTTAAACAATGAGGGGTATTCTTGGTATTTAACAGTTACAATCTTTTTGTTGCAGATAATGTGCTTTTTGGACTTAGAGACTGATTATATAAACCCATATGAGTTAGCAACTAAGATAAACAACATTATGTTGCCTGAGATGATTACTCAAGGAGGATTATGCTTTTTACATCTTGTCACAAGGCATTGGATAATGTTCCTATTTTGCCTTCCATATTTATGTTATAATGTTCATCTGTAAGTGCATTTCTTAATCTTTTTTCTTACAATTTAATATATTAGGGGGGTGTTTGGCTTAGCTTTTTAGGGGGCAAAATTCCTTTTTGGAAAAGTTACAAAAACTCAGGTTTTCCTCACTTTTCCAAAAAGTTCATTTTTACTTGTATCCAAATCCAAAAGTAGCTTTTAAAATGCATTTGTCAAACATCTTTTCTCTTCTATCTTTTCCTAAAAGGACTTTTGGCATCTAAAAAGCTAAGCCAAACACCCCCTAGATCGTTGAATTACTTAATCTACACCTTTTAGTATTTTTAAAGATATGGCTTTTTGGTCAAATCTTTTAGGGAAACATATAGAAAAGCACAACCTTTTATTGATTTAGCATGGCGAAAAATACATAAAAGCACAATGTACTTTTAATAATTTTTTGATTTAGCCATTGAATTGTTATTTATTTATGATTAATTTTAATAATGGTTTAGTGGCTAATATCAATAAAAAAACAATAGTCTCATAACTAAATTTATAAAATGGTGAAAGTATGTTGTGCTTTTATGTGTTTTTCTCTGATATAAAAATCGGGTAACCGGGAAAAATGATTTTTTTTAAGGGTTAAAAAAATTTAACTGCAGAAAATAGTTAAGTGGCTAACTAGATAAAAAGGTGAAAGTACAATTGTTTTATTCTATAGTTTGCCCAATCTTGTACTTACAAAGATAAAATATTAACATTTACTTAGATTCTGGTTGCGAATTTATCAATATTTATGTGTTCAAAACTTTCTATAAAATGCAACACACCTATTAAAGTTCTCAAAATTTATATATTATTTCATATTTTATATTAAACATGATACAAAACCTATTATCCTCTAACATAAATTGATTTTTAGGTACATTCATGGACGCCATGTAGTGTATGCAACAGAGGTTTTTAATGAGCTTTCAAGTCAAAAGAAACAGCGAATATTTAAACTTTGTTATCTTGGTTTCCTTCTTTTCTTCTCTATATTTTGGTACGTATTTCAAACTCGTTAAAATACCCAATTTTAAATCACTTGAAAATCATATTAATCGTCTTTTTTTTTGTACTGTTTTTTAGGATGATTTGGAGTATTGTTGATGAAGATTAAGAAATCGGGTCTCTCAATCGAGTAAATTTGACTGTAAGTAGATGTGTTCATTGTGGATAATAGGATTAAATGCAAGAATTAGCAATGTAATTTCCTTGAAATTTTTTGTAATAGCATCATACTTTATTTTCATCCTATTCGAGCATTGTACTTTGAAAATATTATCCAATTACAAAGCAATTATCATTGCTATAATTGGTAGATTTTACAAAATACAACGCCTTAATAAGATGAAAATGTGTAAACAAAATGTCATTTATCTAAACGAAACTTAATTAGAAAAAAGAAGAAATGTCATTTATTCATAATCTTAAAATGCTGATTGGATATGATCTTTGATTACAGGCTATTCGGTTTGTATGATTTGCTATCGAAAGGAGTCATTTGAGAAGATGAGTAGAGGTTTTCACACAAACTACTCCATCGTATTTAGATCTTAAAAGTCTTCAAGAATTTTTTTTTTTGTACAGCTACATGTATATTTAATTCAGCCGTTTATATATATTTCCAAATAAATTCTCCGGTTGTAAGTTGTTTTTATTTCATTGGATATCACTTTTATTTTTATTTCTGTGAATTTTTTTTAATCATCGATAGTTTGGTTTCTGCATATGTTTGTTGGAAGATTTGTTTTGTATTGGAAGGCATGGGATTCATTTATGTAACAATGATTAGATTTTATTATGCTGTTAGGCTATGCGGAGTAATAGCTAGCATATGAGAGAATTTTACAAAAAAAAAAGTTGAAATTTTTTTTTTTTCCATTTTTATAAATACCAACACCTATCAACTTTTGTACCACAACAAAACCTTCATCTTTCAAACATTTAATCTCCATTTTTGAAGATGGCTTCTTCCAACTCTCCATCAAACCAAAAAACTCCAAGAAAAAAAAAATCCAACTACAAACAATTCAAACTCTTCATCACCCATCTTCTCCCGATCTCAAATGGATTGATATATTTTTTCACTACCTCCATTCCATTCTTTGGGTACATATTATAATCCATATCCTACCCAACCACAATTCCAATCCAAAACTAATCTCAATCCATTTGAGATGAGACAGATCAAGAAAATCAATTCCAATTTTAATTTCAATCCCAACTTTAATTCCAATCTCAATCTCAATTCCAAACTCAAACTCAAACCCAATTGCAATCCCAACACCAACCCCATATCATATCCAAATATGATTCTCAACACGAGGAACCAAATATGGCTTGGACCCCAGAGGAAGAGAGGGTGTTGGTACATGCATGGGTTGGCATCTCGGAAGACCTAAAAGTCGGTAACGGCCAAAATCGGTCCATTTTAACAGAAAAGTTACTAGACATTTTCTCTCCGAAATAAAGCGCGTAGACTACCAGGAAAAAAAAGATCAAATGTACTCGAAGTGGAGGAATATCAACAAAGTTGCATTAGAGTTTAACGCCCAATATATGAACTTGAAGCGTGATTGGCAAAGTGGACTAAATGATGCAACATTATTAAACAAAGCTCTAGAAGTCTACCGACTTGAAAAGGGGACGCCTTTCAAAATTTTAGAGTTTTGGAATATTGTGAAGAAGTCCAGAAAATGGGATGAAGTCAAAACTTCGGACTCATTCTCATGTGGTTCTAAAAGAACCAAAACATCCGAAATCACTCATAGTCAATCGTTGGATGCACATATCAGTTTAGACCTCAACGAAGATGCCCCGATTGAGGTTCCAAGACCTAGTATTACCATGGGAAGAGACCAAGCGAAAAGAAAAGGAAAAGGGGGTGATAAGTAGTTCAAGTGATCTATATAATATGATGGTGGGTCTCGACAACTTACAATCTACTTTGAAAAAAAATACTTGAACGTTGCAAAATATATATATATATATATATATATATATATATATATATATATATATATATATATATATATATATATATATATATCGAAACTCCTAATGAAATATGTGACTCACTATCATGAGGAGGAGCGAAAGTTGGCGTTAAAGGTCAAATCCAAGTTTGCAAAAAAATAAAATATGTAGTTTTCATTTTTATATGTTTCATATTTTGTATTTTTAATTCCTATGTCTTAATTTCTAGTGTTTAGGTATTATTGGAATTTCCCTTTCATTTGTAATGAAATTTTTAGCTTTATAAAAAAAAAAATCTTGTTGCGTGCCTCAAGAGTGACAAAAGTAGATGTCCTACACAAACAAAAATAATATGACATTGATGTTGAATCATTCCTCTTAGCCTTAGAACTTAAAAGCATATCGTTTAAATGAAGATACAATTATTAAATGATGAAATTCTCATTTAACAATTTGGCCACATTACTATAAAAGAAGATGACCATCAATTTTAAATTGCGAAATACCTTTTTGCCTTTTTTTAGAAAACGTTGCATGATTTGACTAGAGATTTATATGTCGGTGTAGACAAGTTTATAAAAGCTAGAGATTTATATGTCGGTGTTGTGGTTTGAAAAATATTAGTGTGATGATGCTATGAAATATTAGTGTGATAAAGCTGAAGGATCGTTCCATTTTTAAAAAAAAAAAAATTATATATAATTTTTGAACGTGTGCTTCGTTGAGCATAATGGAAGCTCTTATGCATTTTAATTGTGTCACTCCTAATTAGTTATACTTTTTTTTGAACGACTGCTAATCGAATCCTAACTTACACTCAAATGCAAACTGAAAAAAGAAATGCACCCCAAACATAATAAACATAATAACCTTACATTCAAAAAAATTAAAACGTTGCAATAATTTTTTGAAAGGAGAGAAAATATAAAAACAATAAGTTACCTAAGTTAACATCTGACTTTTTTCTCCCTGAAGTAGTTTACATCAACCTGATAAAACATTAGACCCCAAATAGCAAGCAAGGTCACAACACAAGCTACAAAAGTACAACATTTTTTTCTAACCCCAAAATTACCAAAAAGCCCTTGTGACCCATCATCCTAAAATCCAGGCAGGTGGGGTTCAATCTTCCCTGAAAGATACATTCATGTCCGTGACAGCCCTTCTCCAGTCATGCACACTCGCCCTCTCATGCTGAAAGTTAGGGGCAGGGGTAGAACCGTCATTTCCTCCCACATGACTTTCATCCCTTTCCCTTTGCCTTTGTTCATTGAGGTTCATTGAGGTCCTGTTCCAGTCATGCACAGTGGGCATTGAGGTCCGTTTCTCATGATGGAAGTTAGATGTAGGGGTAGGGGTAGAATCGTCATTTTCACCCATGGGGATTTCTTGCCTTTGCCTTTGTTCATTGAGGTTCATTGAGGTCCTGTTCCAGTCATGCACAGTTGGCATTGAGGTCCGTTTCTCATGATGGAAGTCAGGTGTAAGGGTAGGGGTAGAATCGTCATTTTCTCCCATGGGACTTTCTTGCCTTTGCCTTTGTTCATTGAGGTTCATTGAGGTCCTGTTCCATTCATGCACATGCCCAGTTGGCATTGAGGCTCGGTTCTCGTGATGTTGGAAGTTATTAGGGGCAGGGGATAGGGTAAGGGTAGAATCGTCATTTCCTACCAAGGGACTCTCTTGGCTTTTTTCATTGAGGTTCTGCTCCATGCTGTTGTTAATAGGGTCTTCCATTATGATGTTTTTTTGTTTTTTCCGTTTTGGCCCAACGGTAGTTCCCAACTCAGGTAGAAAACTGGCTACAACAACCTGACAGAAACATAATTTATTAAATGCAAGAAATCGCAATGTACTTTCAGTGATTTGTAAAAAGATTTAACATAATCAATGATTTCTTTTTTTGAAGTTTTAAACAAAAATATAAATATCAAAATTTGAATTTAAAATCTGATTGTTTGACCGGAAAAAGTCAAAGGGTACCTGAACAGGACCAGCTGCAGTGAGAATTCCTCCAAGAAGACCGCCAACAACACGGCCATCAGGGCTAGATAAAGCGATGCTCATACCGCCTTCTCTTGATGATAGTCCTTCAACCTCGCCAGGTGTGAAAGATCCAGACAACGAAAGAATTTCAAATCGTCCCTATAAAAAAAAAAAGATCCAATATTATTAATACTGTGTTTGACATGCATTGGACTGGGACTGATGTCAATGAGACAAAACCTGTCCCTTTTTTGTACCACCTAAAAAGGTGGAACAAGTTGGGACAGGAGGGGACAAAAACTGCAGTTTTTAGTTTTTGTCCCACCGAAAAAGCAGTTTTTGTCCCATTCAAAAAGGTGCGACAAGGACCAATGTGAATGGGACAAAAACTACAAAAACAACTGTTCACCACCCAAAAGGCGGAACAAGGACTGATGTCAATGGGACAATTTTTATTTTTTTGTCTGACCCAAAAAGGTGGAATAAGGTGGGAGTCTAGGAAACGGCTTGCTCTTGATATCTCAATTGTGCAAAAGACGTAAATGTCCTCCTTAATGGTTTCATTTTGTGAAGAAAGTTGTGTACCTCATATGTTACGGTGCCTCCGGATGAACTTGCTTGGCGCAAAGTGACGTGTGAAATAATGCCAAGTGCAGAAAGAACGCATATTGCACGGGGCCCGTATTTTGTCAATGAGATGATTTTAGATGTAACATCCTGAAATATAATAAAGATGGTGAACTTTGTTTATGTTTTTCATATCAACTAGTACTAGAAAGAAATTGAAATAAATAGGATGCTATAATACACAAATAAGTGAAAGTATGTTGCTATGTATTGTATTTATCTTGAGAATATAATATTGTTGATGTTGAAGGAAAAATGGAACATTTAAAAACATGGGATTAACATACCTCACCGGGATTAACAGTGACCATGTGAGGGGTAAAACTTCCACCAGATGTAATTTGGTCGCCGTATCATGAAAAAAAAAAAAAAAAAAAAAACAAGATTTATATACAACCATTTTCAAATTTTATAGGATTTAATGCAACATAGACCAAAATACAAAGCATATTAATTTGAATATAGAGAATAAAGAAATCAAAACAAGTCCATTTGGGTATTTAGTATTTACCTAAACTCATGTTCAATTTCTCTGAAGAATTTATCCTCTTTTTCTTCTGCTTCTTCTCAGTCTGAAACTCGCCACCACTTCCCACCGGTTCACCAAACTTCACATCAGAATAGCCACCGGAGGTAGGCGAAGAGGCGGAGGAGAGTGGCAGTGGTGACAATGTCCGGACACTCCCACCGCCACTGGCGGTGGTAGCCACCCCATCTGGGCCATATTTCCTTGGTCTACCCCTCTTCTTCTTTGCCAAAGAAGATGACATGCCATTGCCGCCAGTCGCCGGAGAAAACCCCGGTGGTGGTGGGCCCATGGTTTGGGTCTGGTTATCAGTCATTAGAGCCAATTGATAGTTTGATGGAGTTGGAGCCTCAGGTTTTGTTGCTTCTACTGGTGGCATCATAATTTGTCTCGAGTCCATGGTATGATTAGCAAAAATTTCACACTAAATTAAAGAAATGAATTTTTTTTACTATTAGGTCAAACTTACAGAATACACACACACACGCATGAAAATGATCAAAACAGGAAGAAGAAATCAAACTATGAAAATGTTCAAAATTGAAAAAAAATAATCAAAGAATTTGATGAACAGATGATTTTTTTAACACAAAACAAAGCTTAAAGTTATACAAAATCAATAAACTGAAGAGGAAGGTGAAAAGATCCGTCAAACTGAACAAGAATTTCAACGCAGAAATTAAGCGATTACAGCTTGAACACATACACACACACATTCAGGAGAACAAGAAATCATAACTGTGAAATGTGAGGAACTGAAAAAGAAAATCGAAGAACTTGATGAATGGATCGCATAGAAAACACAAACACGCGCTTAAAATTACAAAAATTCTGTAGCAAACTCGAAAAGGAAAGTAAAAAATAAAATAAAAAAATCCAATCGATTGATATCGTTGAGTAGGGTAGAGTAAAATCTTTTCGCGATAATGCCTCCTATTTTACAAGATCAAAACCTAATAATTTTTAATTTATCATAGAAACATATATAAAAACTAAACTCAACGAAAATTACTGAAAAAATTACTCCACATTACCTTCAAACATGCAAAACGAACTAAATCATACTACAATAATCACAAAAAGAAATTACTTACAGTTTAATATTCGCCAAAAGCTCTTCACATTACCCAAGTAAAATCGCGTAAGATCATGAAAACAACACCAAATCAAAGCCCTAAAACTTAAAATCTTACACTTACGTAACACAAGGGAAAAACAAAAAATTTCAAAGAGCGTTACCTTCTTCCGATTGATCAAAGGAATTTCTGGAGCTTGTTTGGAGTCTTGCAGCCAAAAAACACACTGAAATTCAAATGACTGTGTGCGAAATCTTCAGAGACATGCATCTCTATTTCTCTCTCCTTAATAAAATCAAAAAATAAATTATTATTAATAATTAAGGGAAAAGGTAATAATTCAAAAAACCACATAAAAGAGTAGTTGATTGCTAAACCCCATAAAAATAAATAATTTCATGTCCGTGGTTTATAAAATTAAACGAAGAATCAACTGTATAATAACAATGAAATAATTTTTGATTAACTGAAAATTGCATGCCAGGTGGTTGATAAGGGCATCAATCCTAGCGACGATCTCAAATTGTCTTATGTATCTTGGATTTAGCTTTCCACGTTTTCAAAGGAAAATAACTTATGAAGGTAACTAACTATTTCGATTGTCCATATACAGGTAATGTTCTTTTTTTGTTCTCATTAATGAAACCAACTTGTTATTTATGTTCACATTTAGGTAATATGACCGGCTATCACCTGTTTTTGCTTATGTGGCAGCCACCTGTCACATGACTTGAATACGTTGCACCTATGTGGCATTGTGCATATATTCTCTTCGTTTACAGTATAAGAAGTCATATGATTACACCCCTGATTTTGAACCCTAGATCGACGATGGCTTCTTCTTCCTCATCTTATTCTTCAAAACGACAAGATGAATTTCAAGCTGATCATCCATGTGATTGCAACTTACCATCTTGTGTGAAGACTTCAAGAATCCCTGACAACCCTGGAAGAAAATTTAGAGTTTGTCAAAACTCAATGGTAATCATTATTGTTGAATACGTTGCAACTTTCTTCTTCTTCATCTTGTTGAATACCCTTTCTTCTACTTCATCCTTTAATTTAACATTTTTTTAATTTTGTTTCAAGAATGGAAAAAGTCCAAGCTGTAAATTCTGGCAATGGTTGGATGAGGATGAAAGGATGACAGATGGAAGAAAGCCTTACAGGAGGAAACCAGAAGAAAGCTATAATCTAACCTTGAAAATTTGCACTTTGGAGAATGAAATCAGCATATGTAGGATGAAGATCGAACAAGAAAACAACACCAATTTGGTTAATAGACAAGAATTGGACAAAATCAAGTGGAAGTTGTTTAGTCACAAAGTGGCACTAATTTTTTTATTTGTATTGTATGTGAAAATGTTGATTTGATTGTAGTTCATGATGTATTAGGGTTGAATGATGTAGTTCATGAATGAAAGTTGATTGGTATTAGAATGATGTAGTCCACCTGTTTTTATGTATGCTTATGTATGTAATGAATGGATGGAACTTTTGTTACATGTTTTTGCTTATGATGTTTTTGTTACATATAGTAGAATGAAAAATAATTAAACACTGGAATGGTATACAATGAAACATTGGAATGTAATATAATCAAACATGGGAATGTAATATAATTAAACATTGGATTCCCAGGAAACATTATTTACAAAACATTGGAATTTAACACGGTTACACATGCATTACTGCCAAAAGGTACACACAAGATTCCAAAACTTACACATACAACTAGACACAAGTCCAAAAGTTACACATATTACTAGACAAAAGATTCTCAGTCAATGATGCCAAAAAATAACAAAGTGTCAAATTCTATTCCAATTCCATTGGATTTTCACCACTACTCCCCTGTTTCCCCTCCCACTTCTTTCTTATCTGAATTTTTGTGATTCTTTCTGAAGGTTTCCTTTTTCTCTTTCCCTGTAGAACTTGAAATGCTGGTACTTCTTGCATATGCTCATTTTCCACTGGATCTTGAACTGCAGTCTGTCCTTGGTCATCTTGTCCAACTGGATCTTGAAGTACAACAAGTTCTTCACCTTCTTGACCTTCACCCTGTCCTTGAACTTCAACTTCAACTTGATCTACAACTGCAACCTGGTATTCACCTTCTTTAACTTCAACTTCAACAAGTGCTTCAACCTGTGCTTCAACTTCAACCTGTTCTTCAACCCCTCAATCTTCAACCTGTCCTTCAACTTCAGCTTCAACCTCAGGTTGGTCTACATCTTCGTATGTATGATTACCCTCTTCAAAATCAACTTCATAAGACGCCACCTCACTATCAGGCTCCCTTTGAACTTCACTGTCACTATTACTTTCCACATCAACTTCTTGAACCAATTCAACCTTCACTTTACCTGTTATGAAATAATTCAAATGTTAGCATTAGAAGTTGTTATATTGTAATCAAAAGGTAAAGGATGAGAAATACCTTCTTTTTTGGCTTTTTTATTTTTTTGACTTTGGCTTTGGATTAGATGATTCCCCAATTGGTTTTTGAGGACATTTTGCTTTATTATGCCCTGTTTCTCTACATATGTTGCATCTCATAACAATACCCCTTTTTGAGACTGTATGCTTATTGCCCTTTAGTTCACTCTCAATCTTATCCCTTTTCCTTTTTGTTGATGGTCTTCCTGGCATCCTTCTCTTTTTGGGAGGCAATGGCTTGATGTAATCCACATCAGGCCACATATCACTACCATTTGGTGGCTTAATGGTGTACATGTAAGCATTACAAAACATTGTTGTGGTCAACCATGGTGATACATAGTCCTCTGGATCCCTATTGAGGTTTGAAATGGCAGCATATGCATGCACACAAGGGTAACCAGTTAATTGCCAACCTCTACATCCACATGTCTTCTTCCCAAGGTCTACAACATATGCATCATATAAAAGTCTCACTTCAAATTGTTGATAACCAGATGGTACAACTCTCCAAAATCTGTCCACACACACTTAAATGTAAGTATACACAATTGAATGTCACACTTATATATAAAAAGGTATTCAACCACTAACCTTTGAAGTTCCTTAATCTTGGACAATTTCAGTCTAATGGCAGGACATATGTTTAAGTCTCCCCAAGAACTTCCCTTACTTTTTTGTCTATAAAGTCTCTCCATCACATAAATTTAATTTCCTCTAACATAGTGATTAGAGGTCTCTTCCTGGCAGCTCCAATGATTGAATTAAAACTCTCAGATACACCATTTTCATATGCATCACATGCCCTATCAGTCTGAAAGAATGCTTTACTCCAAGTTTTAGGGTCCCTCTCCATTAGATGATCATAGGCAAGTGGTTCTATCTTCTTGATTTTATTCATATGCTCCTCAAATTGAGCATGGGTAGTAGAAGCAGCAGCATACCAGAATAGTTTACTGAACTGTTGACCCTTGAATTTTTTCATGATGTTAGCACATATGTGTCTGGCACATTGTCTATGCTCTGCTACATGCACCCTTTCCTTGACAGCCTCAAGTAACCTCTGTTAGCATTACAAACAAAACATAAACTTCATAAGAATTAAGTATTAAATAAATAGAGAATATAAAATCATTACTTTGTGTTGGTCTGATATTAATGTCAACCCATGTCCATTTCCCATTCCAATGTCATCAAGGAGAAGGTCAACAAACCACTTCCATGTTTCCTTACTCTCCACTACAACCACAGCCCATGCAAGAGGGTAGATATGGTTGTTTGCATCCCTACCTACAGAAGCAAGCAACTGACCTCTGCAAACATCTTTTAAGAAGCAGCCATCTAGTCCAATTACCCTTCTACAACCTTTAATCCATCCATCCTTCACACCCTTTAAACATACATAGAACTTTGAGAAGTAAGTGGCTCCATCAGGCATGACATCTACATCCATCTTCACTGTTGATCATGGGTTAGTCCTTCTTAGCTCTTCTCCATAGCTCCAAGTTTTAGCATAGTGTTCCTTTAAAGTACCCTCTATCTCCTTAAATGCATACCTCCTAGCATTTCTGCACTATCCCACACTTGCAATCAAAATAAATGTCTTGCTAACCTTAGCCTTTAATTTTCTCACACTCATCTTTGGGTTCTGGAGTATATCATTCATGAAATGATTCCCTATCCATTTATAGCTAACAATGGACCCAAATTTGAAGACTCTTGAGCAATTATGGTTATCAATTAAAGATTTAATCTGGAATGACCTTTCATTGCTCATCCAGGTTGCCCACAACCTAAAGGGACAACCTTTATTCTTCTTGTTCTTCTTACCTTTACAACATTTCACCAGTAACCTGTTATGATCACTTTTTTCATACCACAAATCATACCCATTCTGCACTGCATAATTGGTTAGACATAGCTTCAATTTCATTGGGTTAGCAAACTTTATACCTAGAATTGGCACCATCTTATCCCATTCTTGATTCTCATCATGGACAAGAAATACAACCTTATTATCTTTTCCATCATTAGGTTCATCATCATCACTAAGCTTACCAATAACTGAAAGTTTGTTTAAAAAGTTGTCACCAACAGTTTTGTTAAAGGTATGGACTTCTTCATCAACTTCATGCTCATATGCCATAATATCATCCAAGTTATCATCTTCATCACTGTCATCCTCTTCTTCCTTGTGACCCTCTTCTTCATTATCATCCTCTTCTTCGTTGTCATCCAAGTCATACCAATTACCATCTAATAACACCTTATTTTCAGCCCAATCAAGGATTGGATCATTTTGGTGGTCAATGTAGACATCCAACTCAGCTTCAGGAGTATAAGTAGCTTCAACAAACTCCCAATAATCAGCATCACTGTCGATTCTTATAATACCCTCACCCAAGGTTTCCTTTCTGCTATAGTAGTACACATTATCACAACTTCCATTGGTTAAATTCCTAAGCCACAAAAGAAACTCTTTGTACGTAAATCCTCCAAAATCAACATCACGCACTGTTATTTTTTCGGGGTCTAAGTATTTCAACGGATTTGGGGCAAATAGTCCACTGTAATGAACATCTACAGTTAAATACTTACCTGTAGATGATTGTGACGCCATCTTACAGTCGATTTCAACACGTAGCTTCAACTCTAAACTCTAATCTTCAATTTGATGAATTGAATCTAAAATCGGGAGGTGATTTTGGTGAAATTGAACTTGTCGGACCCTAATTAAATGAGAAAGGGGAGCAATGGCCACGTAAGAATCCACGTATTTCACTTTAACTGAGTTAAATTGATGCAACCGGGTAAAACGGGCAAAAACAGGTGATAGTCGGTCATATTAACTAAATGTGAACATAAATAACAAGTTGGTTTCATTAATGAGAACAAAAAAAAGAACATTACCTATATATGGACAATCGAAATAGTTAGTTACCTTCATAAGTCATTTTCCCTCCATAGAACTCTTAAGAATTGATATCGTTTTATTTTTTATTCAATTTTACTCTGTAACATTAGACCCTACAAAGTTTAATGAATTTTCATATCATTATCATTATATCTTTAAACATAATTATAAATTTTAAAATAAAAGATATCATAGTTAAAAAAAATACTTAAATATTAATTATAAATTACGAAATCTAAAACATTTAATACCTAAGAATACATTAATTAAAAAACACCAAACCCAAAATACATTAATAAAAAAAATACATACAAATATATTTTATCTTGACCACATCACAACGTTTCATCCAAATATTTCGTCAGTAATGTCCCAAAAATATTGATAAAAAATTTCAATTTTATAACCATCAAATCAATACATCAAAAGTTTCAAAACCAATTATAGTATAAATGTATCACAACCATCAGAGTAAAATAATAATCATTGGTGCGAAAATCATAAGGGGATGTTGTACAGTCAAGTCGGGCCCTTCCTTTTGGAGCTGAAAGTACCTGAAAAATGTTTAAACCACAAACCGTAAGCACAAAACTTAGTAAGTTCCCCAAAAAATACTACATACCACACAAGTAGGCCCGAACCAATGTACATACAAATACGCCCAACCCAACATACATATATAAATGAGCCCAGTCCAATCATGCAATAGGCCCAACCCAATCATAAAAAGGCCCAAAGCCAACATATAATAAATGGGCCCAACCCAACATATAGTAAATGAGCCCAACCTAACATACACATGCAAGAGTCACAAAGACAACTAGCATCCTACACAGTATAATGAGAAGATTCACCTCAATCTGAAGACAGAAAAATCTCATACTCGAGTTGTCGATACTAGAACTCCCCACACTAATCAATACATAATAAGACCCTAATAAAAATTTAAGGTAATAATCCACACTCAAGGGTCTTGGTTCATGGATGCTCCTCTTGGGGGTAAAAGTCCATTTTACCCTTCCAAGATTAGAACCCACTCCATTTGACATAATATCCATTTTGTCCAAAAATACCCTTTTGGTGCTACGCCCAACGTAGAGCCTCTGATAGAAAACGGGAACAATTCAGGTTACGCTAAGCGTAGCCCAGATTGCGCACATCGTAATTACGTTGTTTTGCTAACTCAACATTAAGCTCTTAATACACAAGGACTAAACATCTAATTCTCATATTCGGACCTAATGAACGTCCTAAGTGATAAATTCTACGACTTTACACCTTTGTATGGCTAAAAAGGGCATAAGACCAAACCCTAAGTCCCTAAATCCTTCAAATACTCAAGATCTCATACATGGATGGATGGGAGTGACCAAGCTCCCATTTTTATGACTCTACAAGCTTAGAAACGATTGGAAATGATACTCATAAGGTCTGGAATAACTCATACTCATTAAGACCAAGGTTGTGGGACAAAAAGCATAACAATTCATGAGATAACTAGATCTAACATAAAGGAACATCAAGATGCAAGCTTTATATCTCCTGGAGGTGGATGATGAAGTGTGAAGTCTAGATCTACAAAGCTTGGAGACCACAAATGTTTCTCCAATGGATTCCTTCATCAAGAATGCACACAAAAACACACAAAGGCTTCAAAACTCTCACAGGGTGGCTAGGGTTTCGAGGCCACTTAATATGAGGGTGGAGGCTGAGCATGGGGAGGCCCTCAAGGATTTAAAGCCTTTAAATAGGGTTCACAACCCATCAATTAGGGTTTCGATCCTGCGCTCCTACACCCATTGTAGGGCATTAAGTCCCTAGATGGAATCTTTCACGTATGCCCAATGTAGGAGGCCATCCTACGCCCCGCGTGGAGCACCTAAAATGAATAAATGCCAAAATTAAGTATTGAGAAGCATAACTGAGGATACAAGTGTTACAAATCTCCCTCACTTGAATCAGACTTCGTCCTCAAAGTCCGCTGCTACAAAAAGCTCTAGGTAATGCTCTCGCATATCCTCTTCAGGTTCCCATGTCCGCTCTGGACCCTTCCGATGCTTTCACTGCACCTTAACCAAACCCACTACCTTGTTGCGCAAGGTCTGCGTCTTCCTATTAAGGATCGTGATCGATCTCTCCATATAGTTTAGGCGTTCATCAACCTGAATATCATCTAAGGGTACCACTGCAGAATCATCGACCAAACACTTCCACAACTGAGAAACATGGAACGTGTTGTGGATCTGGCTGATCTCATCATGCAAATCCAATTGGTATGAAAACTTGCACACCCGAGTGATAATCCTTAAGGGCCCAATATATTGGGGCCCCCAACTTGCCCTGCTTCAGGAACCAAATGGCACCTTTCCAAGGTGACACCTTCAGAAGCACATGGTCTCCAACCTGAAAGTCAAGGTCTGAATGTCTCCAGTCGGCATAACTCTTCTGGCGACTTTACACGGTCTTCAGCCGATCACACACCTACTATATCAACTCAGTGGACTTGAGTACTGCCTTAGTACTCCCGATAATCCGATGCCCCACCTTGTCCCAACAAACTGGGGTCTGATACTTTCTACCGTAAAAATTCTCAAAAGGAGGTCAATCAATACTAGCGTGGTAACTGTTATTGTAGGAGAACTCGGTCAATGGAATATACGTATCCCAGCTACCACCAAAATCTAATACACACGCCCTGAGCATATCCTCGAGAGTCTGAATAGTCCGCTCACCCTGTTCGTCCGTATTAGGGTGATATGTGGTGTTGAAGAGTAGCTGAGTACCTAATTCCTCATGAAACCTCTTCCACACTCTGGAAGTGAAACAAACATCACGGTATAAAACCACTAAAACCGGAACCCTGTGTCGAACAACTACCTCCCTGATATAGACCTCTGCCAACTTTTTGGCAGAAATGCTCTCAACGATAGAGATAAAAATAAGCACTCTTGGTCAATCTATCAACTATGAACCAGATAGAATCAACCCCACGTGCCGTTCTCGACAACTTCGTGATAAAATCCATAGTGATCTCCTCCCATTTCCACATGGCAATAGGTAACGACTTCAAATTGTCGTGGGGACTCTGATGTTTGGCATTGAATTTCCCACAAGTCAAGCACTGCTCTACAAACCATGTTATCCCCCTCTTCATGTAGGGCCACTAGTAGCTCAATCTCAAATCTCTATACATCTTCGTGGCCCCTGGATGGATCGAAAATTTCAATTTATGATCCTCCTCCAGTAATGTCTGCCTAACCTCACCAGCAACCGGGACCCAAACCCTGCCACAATGAGTCAATAACCCACGACTCTACCTGAAAAATAACAGAATCTAACCCCTGATCCTCTATTCTTTCAAATTTTCCTTCTTCAACCCTGAAGCGTTCTTGATCATATCCAAAAATGGTGAAACAATAACCATTTTTTCAAGCACAGATCTCCGATGGGTGTACTCGCTGCCTTACGAATCAAGGCGTCGGCCACAACATTAGCCTTCCCAGGATGGTACAAGATCTCACAGCCATAATCTTTCACCACATCAAAACATCTCCGTTGTCTCATGTTCAAATTCAGCTGACCCATCAGGTGTTTCAGACTCTTGTGATCAGTATAAATAGTTCACCTTACCCCATACAAATAATGCCTCCAAATCTTTAGGGCAAAAACCACGGCCCCCAACTCCAAATCGTGTGTTGGGTAATTCGCCTCATGAGGCTTCAACTGCCTCGAAGTGCACATGACCCTTCTGCATAAGCACTGCTCCCACTCCCGAAATCGATGCATCAGAATATACCATAAAATCATCCATACCCTTGGGAAGAGTGAGAATCGGAGCCTCGTAGAATCTTTTCCTAATAGTCTCAAAAGCGACCTGCTGATCAGGCCCCCACTGGAATGTAACATTCTTCTTTGTCAAGCGGGTCAGAGGTAAAATTGCCAAAAGCCAAAGGCTTATCAATTCAAGTTGTAATTTTTCTTTCTAGGTTATTTTATCGTATGTATGCGTGGGAATTTAACAAAAATATCTTGAGGCCAAGAAAATTTTCTGAGGATGTATTCGGAGGGATAAAGAAATGAATGTTGTTCTGAAGAATGTTTTTTTTATTAAAGTCCATTAAATAGTACACAATACTATTCAAAGCATTTATGAAGTTATGACTGAAGGATCATTCATTGCAACCGCGGTAGGGTTCAGGTGATTGCGGTAGCATTAGCTGAAAGAGCACTTGATCATGAAGATTAGAAATAAAGGAAATAAAAGACCCAAAGAATATATTGATCATATGTGATTGCGGTATACTAGGTATACCAAAAAAATATATGAGGAATATATTATTCTAGAACCGCAGTGAAGAGAGTGCTTCAAGAGTTTCTTTTTTTAAGTTTGAAAAGAAAAGAAGCAATTCCTTCACTCTTGGAGACCAGATGTGGTCTGCGGTACTTATCAATTCAAAAAGAATTGCAGGTCTGGGTTCATCATTCCTAGCATTTCCAAAAACCCATTTAGCTTTGTAGCATCGAGTGCCTTAGTAAAAACATCAGCTATTTCTTCGTGAGTGGGCACAAAAATGAGTTCGATACTACCTTTGAGGATATGGTCTTTAATGAAATGGTACCGTAGTTCAATGTGTTTCGTCTTATAGTGATGGATAGGATTATGAGAAATCGCTATAGCACTCTCTGAATCACAATAAATTGGCACC